CAGAAATAATGATCACTAACAAATGATTGAACAGATTGTGTTGAACCAGTAGCACAAGGACAGACATGAAGGCCATGACCAACACCAAATTGTTCATAATTAGCAGCCATTAGTGTCCAGATATGGTATGAATTAGGTATTAAATCATTATCAACAGCATCAGGAGATGAATATTGATATCCTGTTACTCTGCCACAAACCTGAGAATAACTGATGTCATGAGATGGGATCTGAACTGATACACAGCTACCACTGCTTGTTACTGGTCTACCACAAGCTCTAACTCCTCCTGACTGGTACAGTCTAAACCCAGAAGGACAGTTCACTGTAGAGTCAGTCATATTCAGATATGCTAGTCTTGTCCAACCACCTGCAGAGTTACACAACTCCTCCATATTGCAGTAAGCAGTATAAGTAGAGCTGCTATTTGACAGTAGGTACAAACCTGATGGGCTGAGTGGTTGCCTCTCCTTAATCTCTTTACAAGAGGTTGGTAGATCTGAAGTAGTTGATTCATTGCGGGACTGCAATACTAATAGTTCTTGTGCTATTAGTAGTATATCATCAACCACTCCAGCAGTAGAGGTACTGGTATCTTCTAGATTAGATAGAGTATTGACAATGTCCATTAGCCTTGCAGCAGAATTTCTTGTAGTTTGTAAAATTTGTTCATTAAGTTCAGTTAAGTTGGGAGAGCTTTGAAGTAACTGAAAGGTATTTTGTGCCACACCATCAGCCCATTCATTAAAATCAGGAAGGCTCTGTGTTACTTTGCTGTTAACTTTAGAGACAACACTATCAGCCCATTCATTGAAATCAGGAAGGCTCTGTGTTACATTGCTGTTAACTTTAGAGACAACACTATTAGCCCATTCATTGAAATTGGGAAGGCTCTGTGTTACATTGCTGTTAACTTTAGAGACAACACCATTAGCCCATTCATTGAAGTCGGGAAGGCTATGATCAAGTTTATTGACTATATTATCAGACCATTTCGTGAAGTTGGGCAAAACAAAGTTACCAGAAATAGCTCCAGCAGTAGTTGTACAGGTACAGTTAGCATCTTTAGCAGACAATAGCACCAGTAGCAAGCAAAGTATTACCAGCAGTAGGAATACTATAAGACACAGTAATACAGTAATAACAACTAATGGTCTGCTCCAAGCTGAAAACTGTGATGATTTCTGCTTTGGTGCTGCTTCTGTTGGTGGGGCATCACTTCTACTGGCATTATTACTAAATTCTAACATTTCATATTCATTCCCTGGATTTGCTAGAATAAATCCTGGCATATCATATTCATCCTTATTTTTTCCTTCAATTTCTTCCTTCTTGCAACTAAAATCAAGCTATACTTTTACAAGTTTTTACAGGTATGTTGTTACCAGCAGTGATGGCGAAAACTAGCAGTTTTGCTACCTGCCTGTCATATATTGTCTTGGTAGTAGCTATCACATATCACAGTTTGTATAAAAGTACTGCCGTAGCAGACACTATCATAATTGGCTAAAATTTTCTACACATATGTATTAGAGAAAATTATAAAAAATAAATATTTTCTCCTAGTTATTTCTGATAAAATTTGGCCAGACACCTAAGGCTATTATTGCCTTTGGTTGTTAGAGCAACTTTTAAAAGTCATAGCTCAAATTTTCTACACAACATAAGAAATATGTATGGGTAGCAGAAATAAAAATTATAAAAATTAAGAATTTTTTTAGGCCATTTTTGTCAAAATTTACCAAAGGATACATCCTTTTTCATTGACCTAAATTTTGAGCAGCTTAAAAAATTTCATACAAAATCTTAATATGATCAGAATCAGCTCAAAGTTGATACACAACATAAGGACGTGTACATGTATCAAAAAAATTATAAAATTTTTTTATGTGAACGCATGTACCCTCACTACCCTGTACTATAATACAGCAATTTTTGAGCAACTTGACAATGCACACACAAGAAGCTTGCATGAGCAGTTGAGTACTATGCCAAAATCCTGTGGGAAGCCCGGCAAGAACTGAAGAGATAGAGACGATTGAATCGAGAACATACATTGTGAATGAAATGACAAATCATAACTTCAACAAAATATATTTACTTCCTATGCACAGGGAGGGTTTTATCCAGTGGGGGGGCAGGGGGAAACTTCAACCCCCAAACTCTTAAACTTCCCCCAAAAACTTCAAGCTTCCCCCCCCTGTCAGGGCCCTGTGTACTTCTGTAATTGCATGCATGTACTGTACATGTGTGTGTATATACAAAACCTCCCCCTGGTCAACTGCTCTGGGCTACCCCCCCCCTCAAACAAAAATTCCTAGATAGAACCCTGACAGGAACACAGTTAACTTATGATTATGGTAATGTGGTGCATGTGCTTCATTGAGTTCAATGTGTCTAATCAGTCTATCATGACTGATGACTCTTATGAATATTTTTGAGTTTGCTACAAATTAACTATAATGCATGTAGCATTAGTAGAGATACCGTAAGGCGCCTTTTTTTCGAGGGCTGTAAATTTTGAGAATTTTGCGATTTTCTTTAAAATTCGCGAAAATTACTTCCGCGAAGATCAAACTAATATGGTACAAGATGGCAGACAGCATAATTCACAAAAATTAAATCTATGAAATAAAAATCCATGAAACCTATAGCCCTCAAAAAAAGGCGCCCTACAATACAAATAAATGTGAAATTGTGAATGGGTCATGTAAAATAATAATGGTTGGTTCATGAAAATTAATGATTTTGTGAAAAGTCTGACTATTTGATACTAGATTTAAATCTGTGGCATATTCAGCAGTGGCTGGAATAATAATAATAATAATAATAATAATAATAATAATAATAATAATAATAATAATAATAATAATAATAATTAAAACTGGAAGATAATTATTATTCAACATCGTGTGTGTGTCCATACAATTGAGAATCCATCACTCTCCCTCTCTCTATCTATAGTTTAAGATAATACTCTTGTGGTTTACTGATAGGTATCAGTGCAGTATGGTTAAGTCCATTCTTTAACTGACTGAGTGTATCTCGGTCAAGATTAGCTTGTCCTATCTCTTCTCCTAACTCTATTGCCCTCTCCATTAGTTTATCTCCATCTAATACTTCGTGTATTATGCCAACTGCTTTTCCCTCCTCTCCAGTGTACCTTTTACCAATGAGTATGCAATCAGTGTATGTGCTGGGTGGGAGACGGGCTCTAATTAAAATAAAGAAATAAAATGACAATATGCTATTAAATTTTGTGTATTGTTTGTACATTGTGCCCTTTACTCTTTCCAACTTGTATGTACATGTACATGTAAATCATTATCTGATTATTCTCATACAAATTACATGATTCATGAACATGTGTAAATTTCAAATCCTATCTTAAATTTGGACACAAGCTTCTATTTGAGGACTCTCTTATACTTTATATGCACGTAGGTTTAATTTTATAATTCTAGTTTTGATCGAAATCAGTTAAAATTTTCAACACAGCACCAGGTTTTCCCACAAAGCATGCTAAAAGAGCTAAAATTTATGCTTAATAAGCTAACAAGCATTACATTAATAGAATAAAGCTTTGGAACAACTCAAAAATTCATAAAAAATTCAATTTCAATCGGAATCAGCTTAAAATTTCTATACAACATAAAAGCATGTATAATATGCATCAAAAAATTATAATAATGGAGAATTTTAAAAGTATTTTTTGATAAAATTTGGCCCAAAGACAACGTACATATACATGTCTACAGCAATTTTGAAACAACTTTAAAAATTCATAAAAAATCAAATTATAATTAAAATCAGCTCAAAATTTGTACACAACTTGAGAACATGTACAGTATAGTACAGCACAAAATTTTTGATGGCTGTAAATTTTTATGAATTTGCCTAAAAATCTATTTTGCGGATTTCATTTCTGCAAATTTATGCCATTCGCCATTTGTACTTTAATGATTTGAATTTCACAAAATTAATTTGCAAACCTTCAAAAAAATTGCAAAAATCTACGAAATTTACAGATCTGCACTATACGGTATATGCATTAAAAATTATAAAATTGAAAAATTCTCTCCTAGTAATTTTTGATAAAATACCCTGCTTATTATTATTACTATAGTACAAGATCTTTGATCAGAATTTTTGACAACTTTAAAAATTCACTAATAAAGTTTGAGTTATATGCTAGAATCATGCGAAAAACCCTGCACACAATAAAAACATGTACATGTATATGAATTATCAGAAAAAAAGTTTTTTTGTAACATCTCCCCCTCTCATAGCCATTTCTACGCTGGAACTGTACCAATGAAGACCTTGCATCAATATTGAGAGAGGTAGGTAGGATTCATTATACATTTTGATTGGATAGGATATGTAGTAGTATATGAGGTTGAGGGAGGTCAGGCTTTCACAATGATTGCTTCTTTATATTTTACTCATGACTCTGAGAATCAATGAGTGTTCACATGCAAACATATCCACATTATTAAACATATGCACATTATTATATTGTTACGTCACATTGTAAGTATGCAATGTATGCATGATTCTAAATCAAGCAGCCTGACTTGTCTGTTATGCTTGTAGCATTATTGCAAAGGGACATGTTCATTTTGGGTGTGTCAGGTGAAGTGTCATAGTTTTGGCAACACCTACTTATTTGGATTTCTTCAGTGCTAGAGAGGCATTTTGACTCTCTATGACCTCAATGCTGCTGCTTGAACTTAAAGCCTATAAAATTAATAGTCAGTCAATGGCAGGCATTTGTTTGTTCCTATTAAATTTTGGCAGATTTTCAGTTTCTATATAAATGTACACGTGTCTTTTGTCTGCACTATGCAGGTGTACCTTCTAAAGTGAACATTATGCTTATAACCATTAGAATAATGAGAAGGATGTTAATTGGAAGTATTATTGAATGTTATTTGATCCACATACATACACATTATGCATTCACACACAGTGTTTTTATAATAATTGTTATTTCAGAGGTAGAGAGAAGGAAAAATAGAGGGAAGGAACATGTGAAGAGATGTGAGATGGTTCAGAAATTATATCAAAGACTTGATCCACCACTTTATACACTGGATGTAAGTCTATTAGTTACTATATGTGTAACTATTAATTGTAGTTCATTATTAATAATTATAGTATTGATTTAAAATTCAGTTTTTATTAATTAATCCTCAAAACTTTTGCCAAGCATTTTAAGGGGATATGTTGCCTTGTGCCATTATTGCTAAATGTTACATGAATTGTGCTGTTATACTCAATCTGGGCAATATCGCAAAAACTTATTTATTTTGTTCTTGTTAATTCACAGGAGTCTTACTTTCATTCTGATTTTCTCAGAATTACTAAGTATTGTCGTGACGAGCTGTCTCCTACAATGGAAGGACTCCTTCAAATGATAAGCAAAGAAGAAGGTAAGTACAAATGTAGCAATGATTATTTTTAACGCATTAATTATAAATAATTGAATTTCACATGTTATTAGTAACGCGGTAGCGTTACTAAGTAGGATTCACCCCAAAACAAAATGTCTGCCACGACTTTTGCAGCCTTGCTATACCGGGAAAACGAGCTCCTATGCTTACCAGACTTCTTAGAGGACTTTATCTTGACCAGAGGACTCCATTGGTACTACTAGCGTGGCTCTAAACCTTGTCTAAGAGGAAATTAAAAAATCGGCAAATCGGCCGTTTTGTTCAGTCCACTTTTTTCGTCTTCATCATCTTCTGTCAATCCAGTTAATGGAGGGTATCATGGTCTTTGGTCAATGCTACAAGGCTCATTTTTACACCATTCTACTCCAACTATCCATGCGCAGGTCCACAACTTTTCAAAAAACTCTAACAATAAGATAAAGTTGCCCTCTCTCTATCACCCCAGCCCAGCTCACCTCATTCCGCCATTTTGTTAATTAAAGAAACATGACTTAACATGTGCTCCAAAATATGGGTGTGGTCGCGCATGCTCAGATCTCAGAACTGGGAAAAGGGAGCAATTTTTTTATCTAGCTCTGCTTGGATCAACTGCAATACTTAGTGGCAGTGGCGGTTCTAGGATTGAATTTCTGGGGGGGCCTTAATGATATGGGTGGGATAATTAGTGGGTGCGGTCAACCAGGCTTGCAGGATTTCATTTGGAAAGTCAAAATTTAGAAGATTAGGCCTCTTAAATGAGCTCCTTTGTGGTTTACAGACTGTTTACACAGTCAAGCACTGCAGCTGTTTCACAGTTTACATAGATAAAACTAATTTTATACTTCACCAAAAAAATTTTGGGGGGGCCATGGCCCCCCAGGCCCCCCCTAGACCCGCCACTGCTTAGTGGAGGTTCCAGGCTTCCAGTTTCAGTTAAGAGAAGGTAGTTAGTCTTGGATATTATTGTTTTATTATGTGTGTTCAATAAATTGTATTCAAAAATACAAACAATAATATTAATTCATGTTTTACAATGATCATGCATGAACTTGCAACAGAAACAACAGTCAACAGGACAAGATTGGAGTGAAGAGATGGGTACTGTCACTTCTTCTTAAACAAGGATTTGTGCCAAGATTATTATTAGACCATACTTCATTAAACACTGAAGTATAGAATTCCTTTAGCATAACTATTCGCCTCAATAGCAATCGACACCATGATTTCACCATCTGAAAAAATATTACAAATATTATAAAAAATCAACACAAACAAGAACATAAAAAATTAAAAAAAAACAAGATGAAGTAGGATTCTAGAGCAAATTTGTGAAAAAGTAACAGAAACAAGGACAAGTAGGATTCCGAACGACCAACGAAAATACGAAATGAAAATCCTACTCTCGTGACGCAAATTCTACTCTACATTGCAAGGTGATCTGTAATTTCTTAAATAAAAATATTAAAAGTACAATGTAGTGTAGAATTTGCGTCACGAGAGTAGGATTTTCATTTCGTATTTTCGTTGGTCGTTCGGAATCCTACTTGTCCTTGTTTCTGTTACTTTTTCACAAATTTGCTCTAGAATCCTACTTCATCTTGTTTTTTTTTAATTTTTTAAACACTAGAATTTAAATGATTAACCCCATATACCGTATAGCCGGAAAATTTGGTGGCCTAAAACTTTGGCAGTTTTGCATCAAATTGCCTAAATATAATATTGGCGGTCTCTTAATTTGACATTTTACTATCTTCTTTGTTCTTTACGCACTCTCAGCTCTTCTTGAAGCTTCTCCTTGGCAGTCCTTGCCCACAGTCTTGACTGAAATAGTGAGAAATACTCAGAAATACTGCCATTTTGGCATTTTTTAGTATCATGTGCTCACAATGGGGTCCACCCATCATTGCAATTATTATTGACGGGTTATAATATTGGCAGTTTTGTTTTGAACAGCCAATCTGCCAAATTTAATTCTCCGTTGCTATACGGTGTATTATAATTTAAAGCTCTTTTAATTTTGCATTGATTAGCTTCACAAGTATATTCATTTCCTGTCTTCACTGATGAATTCTGCAGACATTTTCTTGATGAGTTGGATCATTTTGAGAGGTCAGATCTTCCTAAAGGATGTCCTAATACAATGAACAATACTGGGGTGTGTTTATGCATGTACATGTAGGCATTAAATAGCACCTACATGTAGAGATGTCCCGATAATCGGATCGGCATATCGGATATCGGCTTATCGGCCTGTTTTTTATAATATCGGTTATCGGTTTCTTTGCATGCATCTTGCAGATTTAGGAACACATGGCCATATGCATGAGAATAAAGGGTTAATTAATTATTTTTAAGGCATTTATGTGATACAATAAATGTCAAAATGATTCTATAACTGGGATTACTTGAAAATTAGTCAAGATACTAAATTGGAAAGTGTATAAATCACATTTTACATGCATAAATCTGTGCCTAAAAGGTAGGAAGGAAAATATCGGATCGGTATTGGTATCGGCCAGTAATGGCTATGTTAATTTCGGCATATTGGAATATCGGCTAAAACCCATATCGGTACATCTCTACCTACATGTACATGTAAAGTACATGTACATTGTGTAATATAGTATATTTGCACCAAAAGAACTAAAATTTATTATTATAGTTGACCATAAACTCTAAAACTAATAAATTTTATCATATAACTTCTTTACAACGTTGAAATAATGCATAAATTGTCATGATAATGATGATATTCTATCAATTAATAGATACTACTAGCAGAATTGGGATTTGATGATCACTTTATGAACAGATTCAAGGAGCACTACCTTCAACCATTGTCTGCTTTACTGTATCCTGAATGGACTGGCTCCTCTGGACTAGACTCTCACAGATCACATATTGTGACATATGATGCCACTGGTCCTACTGATAGAACTGATGTTGGACTCTCAACTCATTTTGATAATGCTGAAGTAACTCTCAATGTGTCACTGGGTAAAGAGTACAGTGATGGGGAATTATACTTTGGAGAAATGAAAGGAGTAAGTACAAGTACATGCACACACACTCTCAGGGTTTCCCACAAAGCATGCTTCATGAGCTGACAAGCACTACAATACAGTACATGGCATTTGGAGTAACTTTCAAATTCATAAACAACTGATTTGATTGAAATCAGCTCAAACTTTCTACACAACATGAGAACATGTATGTGTATGAGAAAAATTTATAAAAAGTGGAAAATTCTTTCTAGTCATTTTTAATGAAATTAGGCTAATGACCAAAGGCCTTTGGTTGTTGGTCCATATTTTGAGCAACTTTAAAATTTTGTAAAAAAATCTAAATTTGATCAGAATCAGTTTAAACTTTCTACACAACATGAAAACATGTACATGTATCAGAAAAAGTATAAAAGTTTAAAATTTCTCTTTTAGTTATTTTCGACCAACGACCGAAGGCTATAGCCTTCAGTCCTCCAATTTTTGAGCAACTTTTAAAATTCATAAAAAATATGATTTTGATTGAAATTAGCTCAAACTTTCTACACAACATGAAAACATGTATACGTATCTGGATAAATTATAAAAATGGAGAATTCCCTCCAAGTCATGTTTGACAAGATTAGGCCAACGATCGAAGGCTATAGCCTTCGATCGTTGGTCTAATTTTTGAGCACCTTAAAAATTTGTAAAATAAGCTATATTTGATAGGAATCATCTCAAATTTTTTATACAACATAAAAACATTTACACGTATGTGTATTAGAAAAAATTATAAAAATGAAGAATTTTCTATTTTTGATTTTGTCAAAATGCCCTAATTTTCGAGCAACTTGAGAATCCACTGACAAGAAGGTGCTTGAGCACTATTCCAGAATCCTATAGAAAGCCCTGCATACACTTATGTGCATGTATAGTCAGGGATACATTGAAAATTATGTTTCTTTTTGTCTCATAGCTTAAGAATCAATTTTATTTTAGTCTATCATGTGCAAAATACATGTACCTTACATAATTTAAGCAGTAACTTTTCCCTATAATTGTTATTCTAAAGTAACTTACACTGAAATCGGTTTACCATAATAGTGTGGTCTTCACAAATTGGCATGCAACTGTGAAATAAAAGCACAGCAAAATATTAAAAATTTGCAAATTATTTTTTTAAGTCAATTTAGGAAAAAATTTATGAGACTTTTGCTCTGTGAATGCAAAGAAGTATTTTATTATTCTTTTCTTTATTTCCAGGTTGTTGTTTCTAATCCTCGTCTCTATCCTTATTATCACAAGATTGGTAGAGGAGTCATTCACAGAGGACAGCATTTGTTGGGTGCTATGGACATCACTGATGGCACAAGGTACAACATTATTGTTTGGATGAGATCGTCTTCTGTGCGTAACAAACTTTGTCCACGTTGTGATCAGTCACCAACTCTTATACCATTTGAAGGGTATGGTGACGGGTTTACAAAACAATTGATGTAACTATTTT